CCAAACCAGGATGATCCCAAATGAGAGTGAAGATCCCAAACCAGGATGAAGATCCCAAACAGGGATGGTCCCGAGGGAAGGTGAAGATCCCAAATCAGGATGAAGATCCCAAACCAGGGTGGTCCCAAAGGAAGCTGAAGACCCCAAACGAGGGTGAAGACCCCAAACGAGGATGAAGACCCCAAACGAGGATGAAGATCCCAAAGCAGGGTGGTCCCAACTCAGGGTGAAGATCCCAAACAAAGGTGAAGATCCTAAACGAGGATGAAGATCCCAAACGAGGGTGAAGGTCCCAAATGACAGTGAAGATCCCAAACCAGGGTGGTCCCAATTGAGGGTGAGGATCCCAAATCAGGATGGTCCTGAGGGAAGCTGAAGACCCCAAACGAGGGTGAAGATCCCAAAACAGGATGAAGACCCCAAACCAGGGTGGTCCCGAAGGAAGCTGAAGATCCCAAACAAGGAAGAAGACCCCAAACCAGGGTGAAGATCCCAAATGAGAGTGAAGACCCCAAACGAGGATGAAGACCCCAAACGAGGGTGAAGACCCCAAATGAGGATGAAAATCCCAAATGAGGATGAAAATCCCAAATGAGGCTGAAGACCCCAAATGAGGATGAAAATCCCAAATGAGGCTGAAGACCCCAAATGAGGACGAAAATCCCAAATGAGGATGAAGACCCCAAATGAGGATGAAGATCCCAAAGCAGGGTGGTCCCAACTCAGGGTGAAGACCCCAAACGAGAGTGAAGACCCCACACCAGGGTGGTCCCAAGACCCCAGGCACCCCCAGCACTGCCCCACACACCCCAACCCCCGAGGAGCCTCCAAAATCCCGCTGGGAGCCCCGGCCGGGCGGGAGGAGCTCGGAGACCCCGCGGCTCCTCCAGGCCCCGCTCGCGTCCCACAACCGGAATTTGGGGTTTTCCAGCTCCTAAATCCCTCCTGTTCCCCTCCCCGAGCCGCGGCCCGGCGTTCCCGGGGATTGTCCACCCCCCCGTTTATTTGGGATCACCAATCCCACCGGGCGGACACGTCCCCAGTCCCCAAAAGGAGCCGGCAGCTTGGAGGCCCCCAGGGTTGGGAGATATCCCAAAAAAACCCCAGGAGAAACCAGGAAGTTCCAGGAGATGCTGGAGCCACCCCAGTGCCACCAAGGCCACGGCGCTGCCACCAAGTTTTGGGGTGCCACCACCCTGCCTGGGCCCCAAAATGTCATTTAGACCCGTGGCAGGTCCTGTCCCAAAGCCAGAGCAGCTGGAACCGGAATTTGGGGTCTCCTGGGGTTCAGTTTGAGCCTCCTGGTGGGATTTGGGGCTCAGTAAGGTTTGGTTTGAGCCTCATGGTGGGATTTGGGATCTCCTGAGGCTCAGTTTAGGTTAGAAAGAGCTTTGTGGTGTGATTTGAACCTCGTGGTGGGGTTTGGAATCTCCTGGGGGTCGGTTTGAGCCTCGTGGTGGGATTTGGGATGTCCTGGGGGTCGGTTTGAGCCTCATGGTGGGATTTGGGGTCTCCTGGGGGTCGGTTTGAGCCTCATGGTGGGATTTGGGGTCTCCTGAGGTTTGGGAAGGACGGAGCCTCCTGGTGGGATTTGGGATCTCCTGAGGTTTGGTTTGGGCTGCAAGGAGCCTCGTGGTGGGATTTGGGGTCTCCTGGGTTCACTTTGAGCCTCATGGTGGGATTTGGGATCTCCTGAGGTTTGGTTTGGGCTGCAAGGAGCCTCGTGGTGGGATTTGGGGTCTCCTGGGGTTCGGTTTCAGCCTCGTGGTGGGATTTGGGATCTCCTGAGGTTTGGTTTGGGCTGGAAAGAGCCTCCTGGTGGGATTTGGGGCTCAGTCTAGGATGGCAGGAGCCTCGTGGTGGATTTGGGATCTCCTGAGGTTTGGTTTGGGCTGGAAAGAGCCTCCTGGTGGGATTTGGTGTGATTTGAGTCTCCTGGTGGGATTTGGGGTCTCCTGGGGTTCAGTTTGACCCTCCTGGTGGGATTTGGTGTCATCTTCCACCGTTTCCAAAGCGACGTCCAAGGCAGTCCCTCCATCTTTGTGGAGCAGGAGATCCCAGGAATTTCCGGTGCCAGGGGAGGACAGGGCCCAGCTGCTCCTCAAGGTGTGGGTGAATCAGCCCCGTCCCCATCCCCAAGGCCACCAAGCACAGCTGGGCAGAACCTCCTCGGGTGGTTCTGGAGCTGTTCACCAAGGATTCCTGACCTGCTCCAAGCTGGGGACAGACGCCACTTCCAGGAGAACTGTCACCTCATCCTGATGTCCCAGCAGCCCGCGACATCCACGCTGAGGGTGACAGGACCTCGGAGATGTCACCTCCATGGGATCCATCACGTGCAGCAGCACAGACCCTTCCAAAGCCCTGGAGATGCCAGGAGAGGACCTCGCTGTCTCCACGAGGTCCCACCCTACAAAATCCTCGTTTGGGGACAATTCTCCCTCTTTTGGGGTTGTGGGACGAGTCCTTGGGGCGGGAGGAGCCGGAGGAGCTCCAGCGCGGAGCGGGAGCGGTGGTGCCACGGTGGAGAGAGGTTCTGCAGGGGTTTGGGGTCTGCAGGTGGCCGTGACACCCTCAGATGTCCCATCCCGTGGGAACTCCTCGTGTTCAGGGGGTAAAAAAGGAGGTTTTGGAGCATTTCCAGGACTGAATCCCAAATTTGTCCTTGGGTGGAAGAGCCACGAGAAGGATGAAGACGCCGTGAAGAACGGGATGGTTTGAGGGAAAAAAGGACAAAAAAGGGATCTGAGGGTTGGAGGAGAGGATGGGATCTGCACCTGGCTCACCGGGGATCGGCGTTGGAAGGATCTCACCACGGTGGGACGGAGACGAGGAGAGCCCTGCCCTGCTGGGCCTCCACCCGCGGCTCCGAGTTCATCCAGCTCGGTTCTCCCACCACGTTCTCCTGGATGGTTTTCATGGGTGCTGGGTTTGGTGGCACCAAAAAAGGACTTTCCATGTCCTGTCTGGCCTGGAAATGGATGAGACCCAACCGTGGTGGGTTTGCTGACACCAAAACCCCACAGCAGGGACAGGTCCATGTCCTGTCTGGCCTGGAAATGGATGAGACCCAACTGTGGTGGGTTTGGTGACACCAAAAAAGGACTTTCCATGTCATGTCTGGTCTGGAAAGGGATGAGACCCAACCGTGGTGGTTTGGTGGCACCAAAAAATGATTTTCCATGTCACATCTAGCTTGGAAAGCGACAAGACCCAACCATGGTGGGTTTGGTGACACCAAAAAAGGACTTTCCATGTCATGTCCAGCTTGGAAAGGGATGAGACACAATCATGGTGGGTTTGGTGGCACCAAAACCCCTCAGCAGGGACATGTCCATGTCCATGTCCATGTCCATGTCCTGTCTGGAAAGGGAAAGGACCCAGCCATGGTGGGATGAACCCCTGGGGGCCACAGGACGCCAGTGATGGAGGGACGTGGTGGGAACGGCCGTTCCTGGGGCTGGAGGCCTTTGAGGAAGGATGGAGGAGGATCTGGGAAGCTTCCTGTGAATCTCCGGAGAGGCGCTGGAGCGCGGAGCTGCTCCATCTCCATCCCAGGGAGCTTTTCCATCTCCACCCACGGAGCTGTTCCACCTCCATCCCGTGGAGCTGCTCCACCTCCATCCCACTGAGCTGCTCCATCTCCATCGCGCGGAGCTGCTCCACCTCCATCCCACTGAGCTGCTCCATCTCCATCCCGCGGAGCTAATCCATCTCCACCCTTGGAGCTGTTCCATCTCCACCCTTGGAGCTGTTCCATCTCCACCCTTGGAGCTGTTCCATCTCCACCCTTGGAGCTGTTCCATCTCCACCCTTGGAGCTGTTCCATCTCCACCCTTGGAGCTGTTCCATCTCCACCCTTGGAGCTGTTCCATCTCCACCCTTGGAGCTGTTCCATCTCCACCCTTGGAGCTGTTCCATCTCCACCCTTGGAGCTGTTCCATCTCCACCCTTGGAGCTGTTCCATCTCCATCCCGTGGAGCTGCTCCATCTCCATCCTGTGGAGCTGTTCCAAAGGAGCGGAGGACAGGAAGGTCACCAGGAGCAGCCAGCGTGAATTTATAGAGGAGCAGCGGGGCTCGACCAGCCCTGAGGCTGGGCCTGACCTTCATCCCGGTGTCCCGTGACACCCTCGAGGACAATCCCGGGGCGGATTCACCCGGAGCACCAGGAGTCCTTCAGGAGAACCTCAGCAGGAGAACCTCAGCAGGAGAACCTCAGCAGGGGAACCTCAGCAGGAGAGCCTCAGCAGGGGAACCTCAGCAGGAGAGCCTCAGCAGGAGAGCCTCAGCAGGAGAGCCTCAGCAGGAGAGCCTCAGCAGGAGAACCTCAGCAGGAGAGCCTCAGAGAACCTCAGGAGAGCCTCAGCAGGAGAGCCTCAGAGAACCTCAGGGGAGCCTCAGCAGGAGAGCCTCAGAGAACCTCAGGAGAGCCTCAGCAGGAGAGCCTCAGAGAACCTCAGGAGAGCCTCAGCCGATGCTGGGAGGGCTGGTGGCACCCCACAGGTTTCTGCTGCCCTCCAGAAGAACATTCCCAGCTGGAGAAACCTCGAGAACAGCAAAGCTCTGCCCCTGGCGAGGAGCAACTCCAGGCACCAGGACCTGCCATGGGAACGGGCCAGGGGTCCCTTCCCACCTCCCCCATCCCTTCCCACCTCCATCCCATCCCACCTCCACCATCCCATCTTAACCTCCACCGTCCCTTCCACCTCTGCCGTCCCTTCCACCTCTGCTGTCGCCCATGGGATGGCACCTGTGGGATGGCACCTGTGGGATGGCACCTGTGGGATGGCACCTATGGGTACCATGTCACCTATGGGGACACCTATGGCATGACCCATGGGATGTCACCTATGGCATGGGCACCTGTGGGATGGGCACCTGTGGGATGGCACCTGTGGGATGGCACCTATGGGTACCATGTCACCTATGGGGACACCTATGGCATGGCACCTATGGATGGGCACCTATGGGATGGCACCTATGGGATGGCACCTATGGATGGGCACCTATGGGACCTACGTCACCTATGAGGACACCTATGGGACCTATGTCACCTATAGGATGGCACTTAAGGGATGGCACTTATGGGATGGCACCTATGGGAACACCTATGGGATGGGCACCTATGGGACTCATGTAACCTCTGGGGACACCTATGGGACCTATGTCACCTATGGGATGGCGCCTATGGGATGGGCACCTATTGGATGGGCACTCATGGGATGTCACCTATGGGACCTATGTCATCTCTGGGGACACCTATGGGACCCATGTCACCCATGGGATGGGCATCTATGGCATGTTATCCATGGGATGGCACCCATGGGATGGCATTGATGGGATGGCACCTGTGGGATGGGCACCATGTCACCTGTGGGGATACCTATGGGCTGGGCACCCATGGGATGGGCACCAATGGGATGTCACCTATGGGATGTCACCTATGGGACCTATGTCATCTATGGCATGTTACCTAAGGGATGGACACCTATGGGATGGGCACCTATGGGATGTCACCTATGGGATGTCACCTATGCGACCTATGTCATCTATGGGATGTCACCTATGGAATGGACACCTATGGGATGGGCACCTATGGGACGGCACCAATGGGCACCATGTCACCTATGGGGACCCCTATGGGACCTATGTCACCTATGAGGACACTTATGGGATGTCACCTATGGGGACACCTATGGGAGCCATGTCACCTGCGGGCACCTATGGGTTGGGCATCTATGGGATGTCATCTATGGGATGTCACCTATGGGATGGACAGCTATGGGATGGCAATTATGGGATGGGCACCTATGGGATGGCACCTATGGGTTGGGCATCTATGGCATGTCATCTATGGGATGTCACCTATGGGATGGACAGCTATGGGATGGCAATTATGGGACACCTATGGGGACACCTATGTGACCCATGTCACCTATGGGATGGGCACCTATGGCATGGACACCTATGGGGTGGCACTTAAGGGATGTCACCTATGGGAACACCTATGCAATGTCACCTACGGGATGTCACCTATGGGCACCATGTCACCTCTGGGATGTCACCTATGGGCACCACGTCACCTCTGGGATGTCACCTATGGGACCCATGTCACCTATGGGATCCATGTCACCTCTGGGATGTCACCTCTGGGACCCACGTCACCCGTGGGCACCACGTCCCCTCAGTGTCCCCTCTGGGCTCCGTGCCCCGCGGCGCTGACGCGCGGCCCCCTCCCCGCAGATCTGCATCCTGGAGTGCGAGGGCCAGGCCGTGCCCCGCGCCACCTGGGAGCTGTGCGCGGCCACCGGCCCGGCGGCGCCGCGGCCGCGCCGCCTCTCCGGCCACGCCTGGCCCTCGGGCCGCCGGGACCACCGCGAGGAGGAGCAGCAGCGGGAGGAAGACGAGGAGGAGGAGGACATTTGGCGGCGGGCGGCGGCGGGCCGGGCGGCCAAGGGGGTGCAGAAGAGGTACGGGGGCTTCATCGGGGTGCGCAAGTCGGCGCGGAAGTGGAACAACCAGAAGAGGTTTAGCGAGTTCCTGAAGCAGTACCTGGGCATGGCGCCGCGCTCCAGTGAGTACGGCCGCGGCGGCGGCGGCGCCGGCGACGCCCAGGAGAGCTAAGCGGGATCCAACCCTCCACCCCGCCCGCCACATCCCATGGGTGCCATCCTACAAGGGGGCCATCTCCGAGAGAGAAATCCCATTCGGAATAAACGGCTCGGAAACGCCAGCGCCGGCCGGCCAACGGGAGGGACGCGGGGACACGCGGGGGGACGGGGCGGGGACACGCGGGGACACGCGGGGACACCTTTGGGGCACCCTCGAGGTCACCTTGTGGTCACCCTTGGGTTCACTTTTGGGGCATCTTTGTGGGTGCCATCAGGGTCACCTCTGGGGGTGCCTTCATGGTCACCTTCAAGGTCACCTTTGTGGCACCCTTGGGTTCACCTTTGGGGCACCTTGGGGTTACCCTTGGGGGACCTTCAGGGCACCTTTGGGGTCACCTTTGGGGTCGCCTTCATGGTCACCTTCAAGGTCACCTTTGTGGCACCCTTGGGTTCACCTTTGGGGCACCCTGGGGTCACCCTTGGGTTCACCTTTGGGGCACCCTTGGGTCACCATCAGGGTCACCTTTGGGGCACCCTTGGGTCACCATCAAGGTCACCTTTGTGGCAACTTGGGATCACCCTTGGGGCACCTTGTGGTCACCTTGGGGTCACCATCAGGGTCGGGGGACCTTCAGGGCACCTTTGGGGTCACCTTTGGGGTCGCCTTCATGGTCACCTTCAAGGTCACCTTTGTGGCACCCTTGGGTTCACCTTTGGGGCACCCTGGGGTCACCCTTGGGTTCACCTTTGGGGCACCCTTGGGTCACCATCAGGGTCACCTTTGGGGCACCCTTGGGTCACCATCAAGGTCACCTTTGTGGCACCCTTGGGTTCACCTTTGGGGTACCTTTGGGGCACCTTTGGGGTCACCATCAGGGTCACCTTTGGGGCACCCTTGGGTTCACCTTGGGTCACCATCAGGGTCACCTTTGTGGCAACTTGGGATCACCCTTGGGGCACCTTGTGGTCACCTTGGGGTCACCATCAGGGTCACCTTTGGTGTCACCATCAGGATCACCTTCAAGGTCACCTTTGTGGCACCTTGGGGTCACCCTTGGGTTCCCCTTTGGGGCCCTCTTGGGGTGCCTTCATGGTCACCTCTGGGTCTCCTTTTGGTCACCCTTGGGTTCACCTTGGGTCACCATCTGGGTCACCCTTGTGGCAACTTTGTATCACCCTTGGGGCACCTTGTGGCCACCTTGGGGTCACCATCAGGATCACCTTCAAGGTCACCTTTGTGGCACCTTGGGGTCACCCTTGGGTTCACCTTGGGTCACCATCAGGGTCACCTTTGGGGCACCCTTGGGTTCACCTTTGGGGCACTCTTGGGGTGCCTTCATGGTCACCTCTGGGTCACCTTGTGGTCACCCTTGGGTTCACCTTTGGGGTGCCATCAGGGTCACCTTTGGGCTCACCCTCATGGTCACCCTTGTGGTTCCCTCATGGTCACCTTCAGGGTCACCTTTGGGGTCGCTCTCATGGTCACCCTCATGGTCATCCTTGTGGTCACCTTTGGAGTCATCTTCAAGGTCACCTTTGGGGTCATCCTTGTGGTCACCCTTGTGGTCACCTTCAGGGTCACCCTTGTGGTCACCCTTGTGGTCACTTTTGGGGGCACCTTAGGGTCACCTTCAGGGTCACCCTTGGTGTCAACTTTGAGGTCGCCCTGGTGGACACCTTCGTGACCTGCTGGTCACTTTTGTGGTCACCTTTGGGGTCACCCTGGGGGTCACCTGCGGGGTTGCCTTCGGGGTCACTTTTGGGATGACCTCACCTTTGAGGTCACCCTCAGGGTCACCTTTGGGGTCGCCTTCAGGGCCACCCTCAGGGTCACCTTTGGGGTGACTCCGCCTTCAAGGTGGCCTTTGGTGTCACCTTCGAGGTCACCTTTGGGGTCACCACTGGGGTCACCTCCCAGGTCACCACTGGGGTCACCCTCGGGGTCACCTTTGGGGTCACCCCAGATCTGGGTCGACCTCAAAGCCACCTTCAGTGTCACCTTTGGGGTCACCTTTGGGGTCACCTTCCCCTCCCTTTTGGGTCACCTTCGAGGTCACCCTTGGTGTCACCTCCCAGGTCCCCCGGGTGTCCCCCGGGTGTCCCCCGGGTGCCCCCTCCAGCCGGGGCTCCACGTCCTGCACGGGTCGGTTCCCCCCAACAAAAAATTGGGAAAAAATCAGCAAAATTCCAAATAAATATGGGAAATGTTAAAAAAAAAATATAAGTTTTTAAAAAATGAAATTGAAAATTATTTAAAATTCCAAAGAAAATAAAATAGAAATTTAAAATAATATTAAATAAAGAAGGAAATGTGTGAAAAAATTCAAATTTCAAGAAAAGAAAACCAATAATTTCAATGAAAAAGATAAATGGAAAATATTTAAAAGGAATAAAAATAAAATTTAAACAATTAAAAATAAATTTAAAATACGTTTTAAAGTATTTAAAATAAATAAAGGATAAATTTCAAAGATATTGTAAAAAATAAAGGATAAATTTCAAAATTATTTAAAAAGGAATAAATAATTAAATGGAATTATTTAAAAGAAATAAAAGATGGATCAAAATTATTTAAAAGAGGTTTAAAAAACAAGTTCAAATTATTTAAAGTAAATGGAAGAAAAGCTTTTAAAAAATAAATTTTAAAGGTGAAGAGAATTCAAATTAAATTCAGTTGAATTAAAAAAATATATAGAAAAATTTTAATAAATTAAAAATTAAATTAAATTAAGTCTAGAAAAAATAAAGTAAAAAATAAAAATAAATAAAAGTAAATTTAAAAATAAATAAAAATAAAATTTAAAATAAAAATAAATTAAATAAAAATTTAAAAAATAAAAAGTAAAAATAAATTAAATAAAAATAAAACTGAAATAAACCCAAGTCAAACTCCATTTCAAATTAACCAATTCCTGCCCAGAACGCTCCAGTCCCACGCTGCAATTCCCCAAAAAAATTCCAAAATTTGGGAGAATTTTCACATTTTTCCACTTTTTTAAACAAAATGTTTCCTTTTTTCCCCTCCCTGGGTGGAATCTCCCAAAATCCCGGGAGAGAAATTCCAAAATTCCCAAATTCCCTCCTCTGCTCTCGGCTCAGCTGCTTTGGCCTTTTTTTTTTTTTTTTCTTTTTTTTCCCCCTTTTTTTATTTTTTTTCTTTATTCTGAAGTACTTAAACACCCCCCTTGTGAAATCCTTATTATACTGACTCAGAGCCTCAGCTTTAAGTAGTGCTTTGAATTAAGGGTCTCAAATATGCATTCAGTTTCAGCTTAAAAGGGGTAGTTAATGTATGGTACTTTTTTCTCTTTATTTCCCTTTTTCCCCCTTCCCCCACTTTTAAATTTTTTTCTATTTTTTCCTCCTCTTTATTTTGTATTTTTAAATTTTCTTTTCCCCTTCCATCCCCCATGTTATTTTATATTTTTCTTCCCTACTCACCACCATTTTATTTTGCACTAATTTGATTATTTCCCCCATTTTAATTTGTATTGTTTTTATTATTTCCCCCATTTTATTTTGCATTGTTTCTATTATTTGCCCCATTTTATTTTGTATTATTTGCCCCATTTAATTGTGTATTATTTTGATTATTTTCCCCTTTAATTTTGTATTATTTTTATTATTTTTCCCATTTTATTTTGTATTATTTTCATTATTTCCCCCATTTTGTTTTGTATTATTTCCCCCATTTAATTTTGTATTATTTTTATTATTTCCCGCATTTTGTTTTGTATTATTTTCATTATTTCCCCCATTTTGTTTTGTATTATTTCCCCCATTTTATTTTGTATTATTTCTATTATATCCCCCATTTAATTTTGTATTATTTCCCCCATTTAATTTTGTATTATTTTTATTATTTCCCGCATTTTGTTTTGTATTATTTTCATTATTTCCCCCATTTTGTTTTGTATTATTTCTATTATTTCCCCCATTTTATTTTATATTATTTCCCCCATTTTATTTTATATTATTTCTATTATCTCCCCCATTTTATTTTGCATTATTTCCATTATTTCCCCCATTTTATTTCCATTATTTCCCCGTTATTATTTTGTGCGTTTCTGTAGCGTTCCGGCACCGCCTCCCGGCCCGGCCGAGGCCAAACTAAAGCCCTGAGGGCTTTCCCGCCGGTTCCCGAGGGCTCCCCCGAGGGCGCTCCCGCCGGTTCCCGCGGGCTTTCCCGCCCGTTCCCGCCGGCTCCTGAGGGCTCCCCTGAATGGTCCCGAGTGTTCCCGACAGCTCCCGAGCGCCCCCGGCGGCTCCCGAGGGTTGCCGAGAGCTCTCCCGAGCGCCTCCGAAGGCTCCTACGGCATCTCCCGAGCGCTTCCGAGGGGTCTTCCGAGAGTTCCCGAGCGCTGCCGAGGGTTCTCCCGAGCGCTTCCGAGAGGTCCCGAGGGTTCTCCCGAGCGCTTCCGAGCGTCCCCGAGCGAAGCCGCGAACGTGAGGGGAGAAATGGGAATTTGGCACCCAAAAAAATAAGGATTTTTGACCCAAAAAAAGGGAGTTTTGAGGGGAAAAATTGGAATTTTTTCGGAAAAAAATTTGAATTTTTGCCTCCCAAGAAAATGGGAATTTTGCCCCCCAAAATGGGATTTTTTTTCCTAAAAAAATACAGAATTTTGGTTGCCAAAATCGAATTTTTGGCAGGAAAAATATTGATTTTTTTTGCTCTTAAAAATTAGATTTTTGGCGACAAAATTTTGTATTTTTTTCTGGAAAAAAAGGAAAATTTTTTGCCAAAAAAAAGTTTTGAATTCTGGCCAAAAAAAGAGGAATTTATGCAAAAAAAAAATCTGAATTCTTGCTCAAAAATTGGGATTTTTGCAAAAAAAAATTGAATTTTTGCCCCCCAAAAAGGGAGAATATTTGCCCCAAAAACTTTTGAATTTTTGCCCCAAAAAATGAGAAAATTTTGGAAAAAAGCGAGGAAATTTTGCCCCCCCAAAAATTGAAAATTTTGCCAAAAAATTGGAATTTTTGCCAAAAAAATTTAAAATTTTGACCAAAAAATGGGAATATTTTGAAAAAAAAAATTAATATTTGCATAAAGGAGGAAATTTTCCCCAAAAAAATTGAATTTTGCACCAAAAAAGGAATTTTTGCTGAAAAAATTTGAATTTTTGCCCAAAACCCAGAATTTTTGCAAAAAAATTGA